TTACAAAGTGTTCGTGAAGCACTCGACGCTTAGCACTAGGAATCGCGACCTGGTCAAGCATGTAACACCTGTTGACTCCGTTGCGCAGTGGCCAAGGTATAGGCTTCGGCGTCGGGGGTCGTGGGTTCGATTCCCACTCGGGGAATGTATTGTCCGCGTGAAATCTATGTTTGTAAAACGTCCTTACAACAAAGGATAAAGTTATCCTAAAGTAAGAGCAAGGTTTTTTTAAAAAATAAGAAAAACAAACAAACCTGGTCGCGGGGCGTTCGCTCAATGACCGTAAAAATGTAGCCGATGTTAGCAGTTTCTAAGTTAACTTCAGATGTGGAATCCTCTACGTTTTCGTGAATGCAAACAGCTAACAGTCTCAACGTGCAAATAGTTTTGAAATTAGCCAACTCATATATTGTACCTTTGCCTTCTGCTTCAAAAGGCGTATCGCGTGACCTGTATACATTTAGGGATACAATACACAGTGGTAATATCAACCCTTGAAATAGATGAGTTTTAAAAATATATTATTCGCCTTTAAAGTTTAGTTACCGATACTTTCCTTTGAACGTTTTTTGTTTACTCTATTTATTTTTCGGAACTCTTCGTTAAACATTTTTGAATGTTCTAAAATCCTTTTATCTATCGGTCTTTTCATTTTCCTCTGCTGTACCGGAATGTCGATGCGGTCGTTAATGTTTATAACGGCTTTCGTTGCTCTAACCACTTCTTACTCTAATTGTTAATTAAACTCATTGGACGTTTTAGCGGCCCACCTTACTTAATTGTTATTTCACGCAGTCCAGAAGCTCGGCCTTTATTGTTGTGAGGACTCGGACTTTCCTGCATCAATCATTCTGAAAATGTATCACGCATCAAAATTTTGAATGACTTCTTATTTGCATTTATGCTAATACTACTTACTTATGATGTGAAACGTATTTTTTGTGTGAAAAGTTGGCAAGCGAGCGGGCGATTCCTACCGACCAGTCTAAGGCTGTGGTTCTCCCCCGGATAAGTCTGCCACGATGTAATTAATAGCTAATTTTACGAATTATATCGCTTTTTTTTTCACGGGAAGTCAATGGACTCGCATGGCTCATGGTCGTGCTTCGTAGCAATCTAAGGACTCCTATGTTCAGCAGTGGAGTCCAAGAGGCTTGAATGATGACGTTCATGATTCCTTACTTAATTCACGATTTAGGACACTTCACAGCACTGATATTTTCTGGTTTTTAAAATTGACTGTCTGAGTAAGACTATTGATATTTTTTATGAAGCATTTATTTATGATATATGTTAATTTGGTGCTATAGAATCTAGCACTAGGCTAAAGTTCTACACCGCTATTCCATCTGTTTAACGATTAGCGACGTCGAACTTCTATTCACTTTCGCATTGCAGTCCACATTTATTTACTGAAGGCTCGTTCTTGAGTAGCCATTTAAAGTGTCATACAAGTGTACTTCAAGAGATAAATGTTTGTAAGCAATCGAACAGTTAGCGATTACTCGTACTGTGGAAACTAGGTATGGATTGAATTCGGAATAAATTATAGGCGTTTCGATCGCGATTAGCCTTGTACTTAGATTGGGTTTCGGCATTAAAGCGTCAATTGGTTTATTTGTGAATTCGCGAAATATTAAGGAGGTCCTCCAATAATTCGATAGGCTTGTAGATGGACCCTTGTTTGTTGTGTAGCATGAAGCTCGTTCGTCCCCGACCCTTGACCGTTACATATCAATTTGGGAAATTCCCTTATAGGCACAGCGACCGCAAACATGTCGGCACTTGATCGAAGCGCCTGTTAAGTAATAACGACGGTTTCCCGTCTACGATGGATCCCTTTTTTGCCCTGAGCCCGTTTCGTTTTTTTTTGCGTATTAGAATTCCCCGATAAAATCTCCGATTTCCAGTTGTTAACGTCGATATTCAAAATGGCTTCTTTTTAATAAAATGTTTTGAGATAGGATCCCGCCCGCCTTCGTAAACTTTCAACGCTCTAAAGATCTCTTAATAGCCAGATTTCTCAGTGTCTTGATCAGAAGTAGTTAAGTTTGACTGATCGTGGCGTTTTACACTCAACTTTTACATTAGATTGAACGAATCCTTACGCGTGCAATGGAGTTTCGAGTGTTGAATTTTATTCTCTTTACGTGCCCCAACGTTTTGAGCGCGTTTGTTTGTAACGCGTGCTTCGAATTCTTAAGGTAATCGGATTGTATTTGAAATAGTCCTTAAATGCTTCGCGACGACCTCTACTTCGGGGCCATGGCGAGAATACCATTAAATATCTCTTGATGAACTCGCCACTGATATATCCCAATTGAAAAGGATTCTCTACAGCTCTAAATATTTTATTATAACACCAGGTGCCCGGATAGACTTCGTTCTTTTTTTGCCTTTTTACAGTATTAAAACCTTCCGTGGACCTTAAGGAACATACAAAAAAAAATAGCCAAATTGGTCCAGCCATTCTTGAGTTATGCGCATACCAACATTCATTTTTATTTATTAAAAAATAAGATAATTTATCTAGATAATCTGCAGAAATAAGCCTTTCATGATATCCGCAGCCGCATTAAGCATAACTTTGCTATCATCTCTTTCAATGTAAAATGTGTGAATCTGACCTAAAGATGTCTGTTAAATAAGAAGCTGTATGGTCAATATTCAATAAGTACGGTCGTGGACTTGTATTTATATATGAAAACTACAATACGGAACTTCATCTAAACATATAAAAATCAATGAAATTTCGTGCCCCTGTGGACTCCAAACGGCTGATCTGATTTCGATGAAATTTTCTGGCAATCTCCAGATTGGATCAGCGGGTGATCCATTTGAAACTGGTATCTGTCGTATCAACAGATTTTTTTTGGCGTAATTAATGCTACCCGTGCCAAGCAAGAGCAGGCCGTGTGTATTAAATATTAATTCACCGTAGAGTATATATATTTTACCCCTCTAAGCCGTTATATCGAAATCCGACGTAAACTTTTATTATTATTACTAGCGATCCGCCCCGGCTTCGCACGGGTACAATCCTTACTAATATTATAAAGGCGAAAGTTTGTATGTATGGATGGATGTTTGTTACTCTTTCACGCAAATACTACTGAATGGATTTTAATGAAACTTTACAATAATATAGCTTATACATCAGAATAAGACATATATGCTATAATTTATATACATATCTTATGTAGATCTGTATTACTGTCTGAATGTTACGCCTTCAGCCTATTCTACGCAGACGTAGTCGCGGGCAGCAGCTAGTGTATTATACATATAAACCTTCCTCTTGTATCTCTCTATCTAGTAAAACAAAGGCATCAAGATCCGTTGCGTAGTTTAAAAGATCTAAGCATACACATGGACAGACAGACAGCGGGACGAGCTTGTTTTATACTGTGTAGTGATGCGTTCATCATGATCACCCTCCTGCCCTTATCCCACCTAGCTGGAGTAGGCATTACATATAAATAATTTTGTAAGCGGTTTCGGCTATTCATTTTTTACGACTGACTGCCTGTCCGAAGTCATTCCTCCTTGAAACAAACACCCAGATCCGGAATTAATTATATATACTTGATCCTATCCGAATCGAACCCATGACCCCCGACGCCGAAGCCAATAGTGCATCCGACTATTCGTACCACTTGTAAAAATTGAAGCAACTTGATACTAGTCTATACGGTGGCTAAAATAAGGGAGGCTTACGGTTGCCCTGGAAATTTATAAATTCGGGTCATTGACTACCCTTCACGGTAAATATAACGGTGACCTACTAGTGCCTGTAATTCCTTTGAAAATTTTATGCTATGCATTATACATTATGTATAACTATTTGTGTGACGCACAGATAGTTGTTCCGCATCTGGGTGTTTTTCCGCGTGAAATTTATGTTTGTAAAAACGTCCTTACAACATAGGATAATGATATACCAAAGTAAGGGATATTTTTTTTAAACAAAAAAGAAGAAATATGTGATATAACGTTTGACCTGAAGGTATTATATGCGACGCATGGCAAAATAAATGATCACGGATTAAATCCGTGAAGCTTAAAAGCTCAGCACAGATTCTCAGTTTTTGGCAATGGCTGAGACCATTCTTTTTGATCTAGCCGCGTCTTGTGATTTGTTAAGCCTCAAACGACATGAATATTCTAGAACAGCACTGCTCACGATCCTATAATTCGCTTCAAGGGCTTATCATAATCACAGTTACGAAAATTTCCGATATTAAGTAGATAGTAAATATTTTGGGATTATATTAATTCTCCATAACGATAAAAAAGTCACACGAACAATGACCACAATCATCAGTCACCTGGATGGCGGTGTAAACGGTGTAACGGTCGCAAAACCAAGATAAAAAATGAAAAGAAGCAAATTAATTTGCAGATTTTAAAAAAATGTACATCCTAGTAATAATTGGAAGTCATTACGTACCTACACGTTTAATTTAAGCGAAATAATTCGTATAAACTTGAGTATTTTCCAAAAATATCACAAATCATATACTCGATTTCGACTTTTGATCGGTCACGACCCGATCCCGCAACTCCCCTTTTGGCAGACGATCTGAGCTGATGCCAAATAGGCCGTCTAACCGACCCCATTCTCTACGCTTATTCATTAAGTTGTAATGTTCCGTCTATGGAACATATTGTTTTCCCTCCGCAGTTCTGACGTATCTCTTATCCTTTAAACGAGCAATTCTTGTATATATATTATTACACACTTATTCTTTTTACTTTTTTTTCTATACCAGATCATTTTCTTTATTTTTTATTTTTTTATTTAAAAAATACATGATTTACTAGAAAAAAAACCGAGCAAAGCTCGGTCCTCCAGGTACTATAACATTATGTAAGATCTATACATAACACACAACGGTATGGCTGTCCAATGCTGGTCCAATTTACATGAATCCATAGCTAATATGGAACTGTGTTCTGGACAGATTTTGGCATAAATTTGATCATCGGCGAAGCGTGCAATGAATGTAACTTTAATAGAATTAAACGCGCTACGCGTCCAGGTCGCTGCGACTTCGCTTATGATCAACGACAGTTACCCCCAGTTCAGAAATCCAACACCTAACGAGTTCAATTATTGCATTCGAATATACGCGAGGCAAATACAAGGAAAAGCATTATTTGACATATTGGGTGCCTACTTCCGTCACCTTCAAACCGGGTACACTGCAAAAAGGAGGTGTCAAGGAACGCGTGAATAGTAAACTACAGACATATTAGAACCCTATTGTCCTAATACAAAGAGCAGATATTCCACTCTGGAGCTTATTAAGCCATTAGGAGCGACCATTATGTCAGTTCAGGACAGTTTATAGCTACCTCGATACTCAACAAGTTCTGATATTGAGCGTTCCGCATCCATCTGGCGGTAACTCAAATTTCGGTCTGTCGCTGCCGCAATGCTGACACTCATTGGATTACGCGTGACACGGACCGGCTTTCGCGTATAACGCATTTAACTGTTGACGGCGTACGCGTCCAATTCAATTGGTTATTTTAATGCTCCGGTGCGATTGCGAACGTTACCAACTGGGAAATGGGTATGGAACGCCCGTGGCTCTACAAAAGTTGGTATAATTTTTATTTCGATACGACTTCGTCAAATAACTTTTGCAAAACAATGTTATATTCCAAAAATGAGTATTATTTCAGTTAATTCGACGTTTAAAAAAGTCATTTGATGCATACTCAGCTCTCATTTCAATATAAACAAATTGGCTCGAATAAAAAAGAGGAAAGTTGCACTAAGGAACATATTCAGCCAATTATGTCAAGTTTGGTTATCGCGCTAGCTAATAGAGTTATCTACAATAATTCTGCCTTAACAATTTTCGTATTTTGCCATCGGCCGTGAATACACGATGATTATTATTACCGATATTTTCATCCTCATTGCAAGCAACTAATAACCTCTAAACAGTCCCAAACAAGTTATTCATTTGTTGAATATATTTATAATTATTGCACTAAAAATTTTGTTTGGACTTTTATCGACCACAATACAAACAGACAGTACAAACTTATGAACCTTATCAAGTTTTATTTAGAACTAGCGACCGGCCTCGGCTTCTCACTGGTGCAATGTATTATAAATGTAAACCTTCATCATGAATCACTCTATCTAGTAAAAAAACCGCATCAAGAGCCGTTGCGTAGTTTTAAAGATCTAAGCATACACAGGGTCAGACAGGCAGTGGGAAGACTTTGTTTTATACTATGCAGTGATGCACAGCAATGAGACGTTTACATTTCAAGTGACATTTTACCACAGACAATTTACATTTTATTTTACCATAGACAATTTGTTTTTTGAGTAATGTTACCATCGTATAAACATTGTTAAGTATTGACATTAATATTTATACGATACTAACGTCACTTAATTGTTTTGCCTTCCCGGAGCCCCTCCACGAACACTTAAACTTTATGGTATGGTATTAAAGTTCAAATTGACTTTTAAGTATTATTACAAATCTTTTGTATGGGAAAATAGAAAAGTGTTCCGGGCGCTTGACTTTAATTCAATATACACGAGCAACCTGAGTCGATTCCCGATTCCAGCACCAATGAAGTTGTTTATTTTAAGTGCTGACTTTATCACGTGCCCAACGGTGAAGGAAAACAACCTGCAAATTTTCGAAATAAAAAAAATAAAAAATATATTTTGAAGATATGTGAATTGCGCCAATCCGCATTGAGGCCGCGCGGTGGGCTTATGCCCTGATAACCTCTGTAAAAAAGAGGAGGCCTTTGCCCAACAGTGGGATGTGTATAGGCTGTTACTATGGATCACCTCGTGTAGGCAGGCCGGCGTTCCACGACGTCCCGGCTCCGTAATCGCGCGGTACTCAGTAATGTGCGGCATTAGCCGCGACCGATTCGTACAAGCTTTTACTAGCCTTTTTATCAACGCTCCGCAAACACGCCGCGATAAACGGCAACCCTCGATAGGGCTGCGCCAAAGTGACGGCCGTCGGCAACATGCCGCGTTAGAAGGCAACCCTCGATAGGGCTGCGCCAAAGCGGTCGGTCGGTCAACCGGCGCCGCACTCCCGCGTCCCCCAATCGGCCTCGTCTCGTCGCGGCCGCAGAGACGTTGCCGAAATCTCCCGACGCCCACGGAGCCAACTATCGATCGATCTACGCGACGCGCCGCGTTTATAAGGTGAAAATTGCGCGAGGCTGCATTACTCTTATAACAAGCGTCGGCAAAGCGTAACCTTAATCGGTCCGATGACGACGACTTAGCAATTGCTTTTTTTTTAATAGGCAATCCGGGCAAAAGCACACTGCTAGCAGTGCATTGTTCTCAGGGCGAAGGGATTGTAGCAAATGTAAATTAAGTATCGATTTGCGGGTTTTTTTTTTTCTTTCGATTTATAATTTGCTCGAGTGGCGAGTTGTATCGTGATAGCAATCCCTACGTACGATAAGTATCATTATCGCATTGTTCAATCCCGTAGTTGCTCATCGCGTCCCTAGGTTTACGCTTTAATAGACGACCGCTTTCAATCGACATCGTTTCATTCTTTTTTCACGATTACTGTTTCTACGCGTTGCATTAGTATTAATTCGGCCAATCCAATCAAGCTGATTAGATCGGGTAAGTTAATTGGTAGATTTTCGTTTTCTAATTTTGGCATTCATTATCGTCCTCTTATTTTAGATTTAACCAACCGGCGATCGGTTCACAATCTGAGCGTGTTTATTTTACTATTATTCAATTGAAGCGTTCGATTCCGTCCGTCGCACGTGAGGCCCACGTCGATCTTTGGTTTTACAAGTTGCCGGTAGACCTTTAACCGTTGCGTTGTTTTCGTTGTTCCAGTTCAGGAGAACCAGCCGCTGGCTCGACGTGACACGGATGTTGGGGGGGAGTTCGCCGACATGGGCAGGGGCGCCGCCCGCACGGGCCGCTTCCTCACACTGCACAAACGCCGCAGGCGGCCGCTGCTCACGCGGTCCCTGCGCCGCGACGCCGCCCTACTGGACGACCTGCAACTGCGCCAAGTGCAGGCAAGTTGTGACCGATCGAGGAGCTAGTGACCGTTCGTATGGCTTATACAATTCTCGCTGGGCCCACTTGCTATGACGCCCCGCGAATGTGCTGCGTAGCGGCCCAAGGCGACTACTTTACTCGCAATAGCTCGGGTCTTGAGCGTTGCTGTTGTATTGGTAACTAGCTGATTGTTGCTGTTATTTAACATTGTGAAATTATATGAAAATTATCGAAGATTCATATTATGTGAAATATATAAAAATCAAAACTCGACTAACTTGGAATGTCTATGCCATAAAGACTAGAATGAATACCTATCATTGATAAATCTATCCGGTAGTTTTTACGTGATACGGCGGAACACTGTTGTGTTTATAGTAGCAAATGTGGCCGCAACTCGTGCGCTCCACACCGGTGGCAGATCGATACGCGCGCGTTGATTCAGTAAACTAGCCCTGGGGCGACACTGACACCTAGCAAGCGCCGCATTGTCACCCAATCGTCCATGTTTCGGGGCAGCGGAACAATGGCGTAGTTCTTCCCCCGCCATGGTCATTGCGCGCTCCCTCGGCGGCGTCGAGACGGTGACGGCCGTAAATTTAAATGTCCCGCACTTTGTATTCATGACGCGTACCGCGTCGAGTTGTCGCGACTAGCCCGATCGCGCGGCTGCGCACGCCACGTTTTTTATTGGCACTCGGAGGTTTCACGATTCAGGAGATCCCGCACTCGTGTCCTTGTTAAAGTTTATGTAGCCCGCATTAATCATGTAATTATAAATGTAGTTTCTAGTGAAACGGTCTCTATATAGGCGACCTTTAAACGTTTATAAAGAAAAAAAAAATGTAGCCAGTAGCTGCAATGTTCATAACCTTAATTGTAAATTATACGAGCGCTCGCGTTCGCTGGCAACGTTGCACGGAGAATAAATATATGCTGACAATTGCGTTGCCGCGGAAACCGGTTCATCGGGTTTGATGTACAGCTCATTTTCGAATTAATGGGTTTGGAGACTATGGTGAGACTGCTACATCGTTGTAGGTCACAGAATCGATCTTCTATTAACAACAATCGGCGACATCTGGTCAGTCTTACGAAATTAATCCTATGTTTAACTTACATTTGCTTAGTATATGCGAACACAGATGCAGTCGTTACAGTAGACAAGGGCAGCATATAGCGGCGCATGCTCTCGCTTGGGACGCGCGCAAACGGCTCCGTTGGAAATTATTCCCTCTCTGATTAATGTTACAACCGTTGCGCTTCACGCTCCAAAGCTCTCGACCGCATCACGTTTATAGCGCGTAAGCGATGACGCCATATATAGTACAAAGCCATCTCGCGATTACTAGGCGACTGGACTGCGCAACTACAGACTAGTAGCTACAATTGCAGAAGCGGCAATTCTGATTTTTGAATTCGGAACGCAATCTGTTAACTTTTTAAAATGGTTAGTGCATTTTCGTGTAACAATGCAGGCCGTTTCGAGAAAAACATACGGCAACGTGGCGTAATCAAGAACACCACACGACCGTCGAGGCAACACACTTGTTTTGTCTAGTTTTTTAGCACGGGTGAGTCGGTAGCCGAACGAGGTCATAAATTTTTTCCCTAAGCCGGCACCGCCTTCTAGTGAAAACTCCACTCAAAACAATGCCTCGACGCGCAGCGCCATTTTCTTTTTCGTTTTTAGAAAATGGAGTGTCACACTTGCAAAAATAGCTGTTGCCCGCCAGCGATTTTTCTTACCGCCAACCGAGAATAGCGTGTCTATACCCTACCGAACGTCACGGCGCGGCGGGCGATAAAGTTGTGAGTTTCGCGCGCGTATATTCACCGATAGCTCATTCGACCGTTCACACCGCTAACGACCTTAAAGCGTGTGCGTCGTTCAAATAAACCAGTCCAATTTCAATAAAGACGAACGTATTATTTGTTTGCTCGGTACCAAATCAAACGCTTAGCGTTCTATCTGTAATTCTAATAAAGAGCGGCTAAAGTTATTCCGGCGCGCGATTGTTGATTGCTCACTAACGTATGTCTGGTGGTTTTGATCCGATACGACTGCGTTTCGGGGAAGCAGACGGGTTGGTTCGTCTAGTGCTTTCGTGAGTCACCAACGCAGCATGCAATTTTGATTATGGTTCGCGATGTTCGCAAAACATTAACAGTCGTTTCATTTTAACTTCCCGCTCCCAACTCACGCCCGGTTTCTGAAACACTGATCATCGTAGATGTTAACTAATCAGCTGTCAAATGGCTTTTCAAATGTCATTTTAGTTGCCAAAGTTCAATGCCAATTAAAATTAATTGACCATTCTGATCATTCTGGCCAGTTCAAAGTTTAACCATCCCTTTTGGCAACTCAAATGAAATTTGATAAGCAACCGCTGATTAGTAAACATCTACGATGATCAGTGTATCAGAAACCGGGCGTCAGTCAGCGCGTTGACAAAGTCGAATATTGAAATTCCAATACGATGAAGCGATCGCATTGACGAGCCGCCAAGAATCCGATACTCAAATCCGGGCACGCATTTGTTTACGGCTCGCTTGAATGTAGTGCGCCGCGGAGGTAAGGTCGACGACTCGACAATCTCTCTCTCTTTATCTTTCCAACTTTCTTTCTCTCTTTAACTTTTTTGCGCGTCAATTTATCGAAGGCGCGTCGTTCCAGCGGAATGGTTGAATAATGCGAAATGTCGTCATATGTTTTGTATAAACAACGACGAGTGTTAGATACGTGGTACATGAGGCGCGCGTATAGTATTAGGAACGGAACATATGCCCGGCATCGAACCTTCATGCTTACACAGTTAACGAAGTGTTTACTTATATCGCAACACATATCATAATCTTGTTGTACGTCCGACCGCTGCAATTGCCGAAGGCTATACTGCGAACGGTACCTGTTTGTGTCGCTTGCGTGACGCCTATTTGCGATTGTTTCCTCGTTTATACTGATTTAATTACAATTTGCTCTCTTTGCAGTGCATCCTCGACCAGTCTGCGCAGTGGAAGTTCAATGCATTTATATTAGAAAACGTCTCTGGGGGTAATATTCATTTAATATTATGTGTTCATTAGTAATGCGTCCCATACATCGCTTCGGATTATCACTGAACGAATTTTATTTGTTTAAAGGAAAATTAAAATTAATAACTATTGTCAAGGCAATGAAAATTTACAAATAATTTTATAAATTAACCGTAGACTAAATTATTCTACTTGACCGACGGTTCGTCGCGTACCTCCATCAAGAAATAATCTCTTACCTCTTAAATATTTCGAGTGAGATTCTATTATCATTTCACGTTACAAATTTCTAAATAATAATCTAAGCGATGCATGGGACGTTTTAGATTACGTTTTGTATGTCTGATAGCGCCTTTTGCCACGTTCTTATTTAACAACTAGTAGACCTGTGCCTGTTATTTAATAATGGTAATGGTAATAATGTATAAGAATAATAACCTACTTCGCTAAATTCTATGAAAAAAATTCGATAGATAGGCATTATCAAACCTTATAAGATATTTTTAAAGGAAACAAACTTTATTCTAGTTGTCTATTTTTAGTTATTAATAATATAATTTAATTAATGTTTGTTTATAGTTTATTTTACTAATAGTGCTATTCTCTGCTCTATTATTAAGACTAAGCTCGTTTTAAGACAAAACTGGACAAAACAAAAAATGTGAATTTTTGAAAGCTCTGGGTACAATTTCAGGAGAGGGTTTGCTTCAATAATGGACTGTCGTGCGCTTTTCGTAATGGTCCATGTCGTCTAACGGGCATATTCGTGGTTTATACTGAATCGTTAGTAATCCTTTAATGCAAAATTATTAGTATTTAAAAAAAACCTCAATATAGTTCTTCATATGAGAACCTCGATTTACGTAGATCGGAACCATAACGCCGACTGAAACATCGTCAGTTCGCCATACTTCATTTGTTTTTCACCATTGATTGATAAAATTTGCGACCGCCAAGAATTCATATTGATACGGTAAATCGTCGATATTGCGGGCAGACGGCGAGTTCTTCGAGCCAGTGCGGGGCGGCTGTGCGTAAGGTGGTCACGTGGTGCGAAATGCTCGCCGCAGAGTATGCCGCCGGTATTGACGGAGTGAGGCACCCGTTGACATTTCGCACGTCACACGGACGGGAGCACGTGACGCTGTCACTCCGGCAACGGGGTGCCGGGTCAAACCGCAGCTGCTACTGACCGTGCGTGATATAAGCTAGCACAGTGTCGCCGTCGCTTTGTACGTGTGTGGATTCGTAACCGTGTATTATTGGGGTCGCCGTAGCGGGTGTGCGGGGTGGATGGCGAGGTGAGTGTCGCGAGGGGATCGCGGGACGTGAAAACCCTTGCCTATTTAGAGATGTTACACTAGTACTACACTGTTCCGTGCGATTTCCGGGAAGGTTTCTACTTCTCCCAAATACGTTGTACCATTATGTTAAATTACTCGATAATTGGGCTATCAAATGCAAAAAGATTTTTTCGAATCCGACTCGTAGTGTCGAAGATTAGCGCGTTCAAACAAACTCTGCAGCTTCATTATATTAGTGCAGACTTAAGGTTAGAACAGTGGTGCTAAGTTTGAGCGTTTACATACGTGATGTGTGATTGATTATTTGCAAACTCACTTGTTGCACCATTGCGTGTCAGGATGGTACGAAAGTCTTCGTCCCCAGTGTCAGATCTGATTAGATCAGATCTTTTTAAGTTATACTTCTTTTGAGGCTTTTGAAAAATTGAGAGGGTAAAATTTTTACATTGCGCGCGCACCCCGACAGCGACATGACGAATTTGGTTGCAAAGCGACCGACTTCGACTAATTTCACAGTATGACCATAGCAATTACTATTCTTCACGTCTGTGTACTTAGTACACTCGCGTTTTTCTTTTCTATTTCTGTCATTTCATCGTGTGTATAAACCTGACAAATTTATTTAAGAAACTTAACAAAATAACTAACCCCTTCCTTGTTCTCCGCTCCGTCTTGGTCGGATAACGCTCGCAAAAATCCTTTTTTACCGGGTTTATCAAAACTCAAGATGTGAGAGGCCATAAGCTCCTCACCTGGCCAAGCTAATAATTATGGTAAAAGAATCACAAATAATTTATTGCAGTGTATCTGGCAATGAGTTACTGTAGATAAGTAGAATGAGTAGAATAGTGTGATGGTGATTCAGGTAATTATTTAAACAACATCATAATTTCTCATAAGCTCTTTCTGAAAGTACGGCCCAATTCAAAATCGTCTATAAAAGAACGCAAAACGAAATTGTTTGCATTGCACCGTAAGATCTTTGTTAGCACAGCTCTAGTCATAACTTATTCTAGGCGAATTCCGTCGCTCCCGTCTAGTCTAGACTAACTTTTGAGCTTGAAACACGGACGTCTTGCGCTGATATATTACAGTAACTCCATCCGAGACGTCGAGTTCTGCTCATGACGGCTTTGTACATTGGATAAAATGAAAATGTATCCCACGTGCACAAAAAAATACATACGTAGTTAGTATTTAAAACATTTTACTACTGCGTACCTGACCGAGGTGATGATTGATGGTAACATTTGATAACTCTAAGTGCGCTTTTAATCTTCAACCTTTTATACTAAATCATCTGTGACCTTTAACCGAGACACGCGACATTGCTCTAACCAAACCAATTACATTAATAGATTATAGTGGAACATATAATAAAAACATGTCAATCGACACATTTGTATGTTCCGAAAGACCCAAAATTAGTGACAGCCGTCAATCTTACTCACTAAGTTCAAGGAATAATATGCCTACTTTGAATTATTTTAATATTATTCATGAAATTCCCTTAAGTCATCGTCGCAAAATTCAAGCACTGTTTGGGTAAAGCTGAAATCACGGCGCCATTCACAATAATCAACTAATTAGCGTAGCGTGTATACTTAGTAATAAGAAAGAGGGGGAGTGACAATTAGAGGCGTCTTGGAGCAAATCTACGCTGAATGAATTGCAAGGTGACTCGAGTGTGGTGGAGGATAAATTTGCCTATTCAGTACCTCGGCTATGACGCTTATTTGTTTGCTTATTAATTCATTTTTTATTTATGTTTAAAATTATTATAAATACGAGCCAAAATAATACTGGCCGGACCTGTACGCAGCCAGTTAAATAGGCATTACGTCATTTACGTTATTTTATTTTGCGCAATTCTTGGAAAAGGTTTTTCTACGCTTCTTAAGAATGCAGGTTTATAGCAATACTCAAAATAATACAACGAAATATGCTAACAGATTTGAATTATTGAATTTTGATTTTTAATCTTCCCATTTGCTTTATAAACATTCATGTAATGTTAGAAAAATGCAGTTGGTTTAGGTATACAGGGTGGCTTTTCTAAGTGTATCCATTTTTTAATTAAATTCTAGACATAAATAATGTTATATAAAAATGATTAACATTTAAAATCACTCTTAAGTAATTAATTACATTCATTTGAACTTATCTCAAAAAGTGCGTGATTTATACGCAACTCATTTATTTTACGCGCGATCATTCATAACTAACACGCACACAAGTTCGTGCACAGTAAAATTTAGGTATTTATGAATGACTACCGCATTGTACACACGTTCTGTTTTTTAGGGAATAGAATGGAATTTGAATGGAATTTTCTTTTTTGGAAAAAAGAACTGTTTTTTATTTCGATTATACTACCGAGCCTGAACCTCCTGTGTAAATTTGGGCACTTCTCAAAAAATCTCCCTTTACATATGAACTAACACATCTGATATTGATTGTTTAAATACATACTTCAAAGAGCTGCGTGCTGTATTTCTAAAAATGTACTGTCCATTAACTATGTACGGTACATTGTAACAACGACTGTTTAAATATTCGATGACATTTCCACCTACTAAATGAAACAATTTCGGATATAAGCGATACATACAGAAATTATTATATTGATTTTGTGTTTCTAAATAATTTGGATGGGAGCCTATCCATCAAACAAGTATGTGGTAAATTGGTATATTGGCACGTTAAGTGCCTACTGTTTCACGGTTGCCTTCTTTGATTGATTAGTGTCAAGATATTTGAAGAAAAAAAAATATAATATACATTGGTTAATTTTCTTTTGGTTAGTTTTAAAGGCCGGCAACGCATTTGTAAGCCCTCGGGTGTTGCAGATGTCCATGGGCGGCGGTTGATCACTTAACATCAGGTGAGCCTCCTGCTCGTTTGCTGCTTTTTTCCAATAAAAAAAAAACATTGGTTTTGTAGACGTAAGACATGTCGAGTCAATTTAGAAATTTTAACGATTATATATTTCCAATAAATTGTCATCTGCGCGATTTTTACATTTATTCTGAATTAATCTCTTTTCTTCTTTACTGGAATTTTAATATTAACTTACTTTTTGTACTTTTAAAAGATGTTGTGAAAAATGTCTTTTAACTGTGGTAGGCTTCGCAGTAGCCTAGGCTGTTGCACGAATGGGCAGGCTCGTCCGGGTAAGTACCACAACCTTACAGAAGACCGGCGTAAAGTGAAAGTATAATAATACTTTCGCGTTTCGTCTGGTGAGTCAGGTAGCCGGAGCCCAATTACTCCGCTGTCTGTCTGTGTCTGTCTGTCTGTCTGTCTGTCTGACTGTCTGTCTTTCCGTCCGTGTCAGGCCAGACCGTATCATGGTACGGAACCTTTCGTGCGCGAGTCGGTCTCGCACTGGGCCCGTTATTTATAGTATTTAATTTATTATCACCTACGTCACGTACGTATTATACTTAAAATACTTCAAATGATATCTTTTTTAGACTATTTGATTATAACAGAACGACTTGGTTGTCGCGTGCAGTGTCTCGAAAATGCAAAAGACTAAACAGCCGTGAAATATTCTTATTTAATGTAAATCTTTTTATTTATTAAATACTAGCTTTTCGCCCGCGGCTTCGCTTGCGTTGAAGCCCTTAAATAAATATCTTTCAACCCGTTACGACATTTTTTCCATTTAAAAAATAGCCTATGTCCTTTCTCTAGCTCTAGACTATCTGTGTACCAAATTTCATTTAAATCGGTAGTTTTGGAGTGAAAGCGACACAGACAAACAAGCGACAGAGGAACTTTCGCATGTATAATATTATTATAGATTTTGCCGATCTTCACTCTGTCCACATCGAGTCCCGAACTGATTTTAATTGTGGCTTCGTTATGTCTAATGCCTGCTTCCAAATTATCACAGCGTGTGTTAGTGCGTTGGCTTAACCCGTTCATTACGTTAATGGACCTTTGTGGCGGTATTAATTTATTCACGCAGCGATCACGTACTTATGGTGGAATGCAATACACAATAACAGAACCTCGTTACGGAATCACAGATGTTTCAAAGCCCGATTTGACGTGTGTGAAATCGTCTCATTCAGATCATTCTCATGGCTTGTAAGTTTAAGTTAAGTATTATTTATTATTATACACACATATTAATGTACTGTTTAGTTCATTGTGGTTCAATGAGAAAAAAATATGTACACGAGCGCTAAAACCATAATGTGTTATGTAAGAATGAATCTCTAAGGGAAGGGAAGAAAAAGTTGTGAGACGATTTCAGATGCATCGTTTTCTTACTGTACTCAAACAAACACCATAAGACAACTGATAGTGAATATTATGGCATAATAAATTACTTAAACGCTTTCAAATTTTTATTATCATTCAATTGCAGATAGCTAATTGCATTTCGTAATCTCGTAATTTTATTGTACCCGCCATCCAAATTATAGTATCCCATAATATTAAATATTTTGTTATTATAGTGTTAGATACAGAATAGTATTGCAGTTAATAATTGCAATGAAATAAAAAGATGAGCGAGATACATCTTCTCACATATTGAATAGTTGTGCCGCAGTTCAAATACAATGCAAATGTCAACACATTAATTTAAAGGGATCAATCATCGTTGGACCATAATACAATCGTCCCGTTTAATGATGATTGAATTATTATGCATGGCACATCGTCGGTCCGTCTTACACGTGACAGTCTTGGGTATAGTTAATATGAAATATTAAATGAGTATTTTTCTTCGCCCTACGTAAGTGAACTGATATTAAAGAAACTTAATATCATCCCTTTACTTATGTCAATGAGAATTAGAATTTCATCTATTGAATGTGTGACCAATTTAGAGGTACACTAGGCTTATTTATCTATTTAAACTTATATT